CATCGTTACCGAGCAGCATCGATGCTCTACAAAGCTTTTTTTTTTTTTTCGGTTCGAGCGATCTGCGACAAAAACATTAGTGATGCACTCCTCCCGCAAGCTTTTTAAAAATTTCTCCTCGGATTTGTTCTCGTCTTGTAAAATCAACCACAAAGATCACATGTTTACACTTACTTATTCCTAAAAATTTAAACGTAAACGTGTTTTACGATATGGATACATCGTATTCGTAATGGTAACGGTCGTCGATATTATTCTACGCGCATTAACAACTAACCTATAAAATAACGAGCCAAACTTCTTTCGCTTCCGTTTCAAACTGTCTCTCTATTTATTATCCGAACGTGGTTCCGAATTTCGCCAAAAGAGGTAATAATAGTAAACGAAAAATGAAAGAAAACGAAAGGGAAGGATCTCGAATATCGAAGATCGGTCAAGGAAGAAAGAACGAAGCAAAACGCGACGATCAAACGATTCAACGTAGAGAGAGAGAGAGAGAGAGTGAGAGAGGAAGGGAGTGAAGAGAAAGGACACGTGAAGAGAGATGGAGCGTGAACGAGAGAAAGAAAAGGAAAAAGAAAGGAACCGGTCCTGCTCGCCAGCTGACGGTCTCGTGCCGCAACCCGAAACTCTTTTCGAAGATTCGGTTCCCGGTATTTGTATATCACGTATGGTAGCCGCGCAACTTGGCTGGTTTTGCGCTACCTGTATCGTCGCTGCCCCTCGCGACACTTGTTACTCGATCTTTATCGATTCCGCTCGATCGATTCGACTATACGCTAACTTTCGATCGTATATGCTTTCACGTGAAATAATCGATCGACAATGGGATCTTCGACCATTCCTTCCGAAAGCCGTTCCTCTTGCCTCGGACAATCGAAAATTATTCGTGTAACGTGGAAGAAATTTCGACGAGGACGAGAACGATGTCGTTTGCATTCGTTCTTCCTTCTCTTGCACGATTCTCCTCTTCGTCCGTTCGCTCGTCTTCGTCGCATTCCCGTTGGTATTGATCCGTTGAGTTTTCGAAAGTAAAATAGGTTATGCCGTTGAATTGCACGGAAACTACAAGCCCGGACAGCACGAACGAACGAGACGAGGCGTGATGGTACGGAATAAAAACGATCAGAATCGAAATGAAAAGAGCAATCTGTGAATGGACGGAAATATGCGTGTAGACGTCGCGTAAACTCCACCTGTCTATCTGTCGATCTATCCATCCATCCATCCATCCATCTGCATACATGGATACATCATATGTACGTGCAAGTTTAGATGATGATGAAGAAGAAGAAGAAGAAGAAGAAACCTTGGTTACCCAGCGTGAGTCCCGAGGAGAACGGGTGGGAGGCCAACTAACGGTGGCGGAGGAAGAGATGGGGAGTTTGCAAAGTTTCGAGATTCAAGAGCGGTGCTCTCAATACGACAAGTTTGTGCAAACAAGAACTTACTTTGAAGGATGGATAATGTCGCAGATAAATCAACGAAATTTAATAAATCGACGTTTCTAAGAATTTCATTTAATCTTTTTCGCGCTCTCTTCGCGTAATCTTACTCTTTCGCCATATCTTCATCCTTCTAATCAAACATACTACTCCCTATATACGATCTACATTTACACGCATTTTCCTTCCTCGTTTTATCTATCTCTCCGTTCACTTGTATATTCCTCGTCGATATTGCGTCTCTACTACAAGTATGTATACATCTATTAACGAGGAAAAAAAATAAATAAATACCAAACATAGTAATCCCTCTTTTTCCGATCCCGCGATCGATATAATAATATTTATCGTCATTGCGATTACTCTCGATACGATACTCTCGATCTCTTTTGCACCAGTTTCCGATAAATTCCCTTCGTTATTTTAATTTTCGTGAACCATCGCATACCGTGTATTGTACATACACGTCTTGCTTACCGATTCGATCATCATCTTTAAAGCTTTAAATTCGACGAAAAGAAAAGAAAAAGGAAAGTATAAGGAAGATGACGAGAATGATGACGAGATGAGAAAAATAAAGAGAAGCGCAAAGGAGAGGCGTTCGAGATACACTCGTCATCGAATTTCTTTTCTCTACACCTTCTCGCTTTCGTTCTTTCAATTCGTTCCTCATCCTATTTTAGCACCCTTTTCGGGACTAGCTACCCGAGGGAATCAATAACCGACGAGGAAGCGACTGTAGATTCGGGAATTGGCGGAGAGAAGGGGAGATGCGAGGAACCAAAGAGTACCGAGGGGCGTCGCGTCGAGTAGAAGAGCTCCCCCGATGTTCCGGGAGGGTGTCGGAGGGTGCAACAGGGACCGCGAACTTTAGGGTGGAGGTGGCACGCGAGAGAGTCGAAGCTTGGCTCCGCCTCCGGCACGCGACCAGCACGCGACCACTGCCATCGACCACGCCGCGCCTTTGGTCTAGGCCACCGCCACCGTCACCGCCGCCGCCGCCACCACCACCACCATTGCCACCACCACTACCACCACCACCACTACCACCATCACCACCACCACTATCACCGCCGCCGCCACCACCGCCGCTACTTTGCCGTTACAGTTATCACAGGTTCTTCTCATCTCCACCAGTTTCACCTACGATTACGCAAAGACTAACCCACAATTCGCATCATTTTCGACTCGATCTCAAATGTTTCTATCTTTTTTTTTCTTCTTCTTCTTCTTCTTCTTCTTATAACGTGCAATCCGTTATATCAATGTTTCTCGTATGATTAATTTTATCGCAAAGTTTATTCCTTTTGTTAAATTGTAAAGATCGTTTCATCATTTATTTTTTTTCTATTCTTTCAACTTTTTTTTTTTATTTCTCTTTATATCAAATTTTTCAATTTTAATTTTACGTGTAATTATGATTTGATCGAATAAAAATGATTTAATCTTAAACGGAATAATCTAATTTTGTCAATTCGATCAATTTTTCTCTTTTATCGTTAGTGATAAGTAGATATGATGACTTTTTTTTTTTTTTGCATTCATCATTTTTTTATACTCATCTTTTTGTTTTCACGACTCATTTTTATCTACAAACTGATCAGTTCGATTTTCGATCAATCGATTAATCAATCGATCGGTCATTTTGTCGGTCGACGACTACGAGCTATATAGTAGAAAATCGATCAATTAAATAACCAATTAGTCAACCACTTGAACAGGGGGTGCGCGCTTTGTCTTTTACCAACCTTGTACCATCGACTTCTTCCTACTATTCTATTCTACTCTCGCGTAATCAATTTCAAACTTAATGAAATACTCTGGTGAAATATGAGGCTCATTTCCGTCTCCTCACCTCCACTTTTTTTTTCTCGCCCAACTTTTTCCATCTCCTCAATTTCTTTTTTGTTCGCGTCACTCCTGAATTACCTCGTTCAATTTTTTTTTTGTTTCCCCCGAATTTCAACTACTATCGCTTATTATTATTATTTCATATCTCCTTTTTTTTTTCTTTTCTTTTCTTTTCTTTTCTTTTCTTTCTTTACATCAATAACAACTAAATCGTTGACAAGAAGGTGGAAAAGAAAAAAAAGATATAGTAAACATTTTATTAGTATTGTACAATGCGTTGAGCTACGGATCGATCATTACTTGAAAAAAATGACGTGTACCGATATATTATTAAAAATTAAATATCATAAATAACTAAAAATTAAATACCATAAACTGCATAATTATAGATATTCTATTGGTAAAAATTAATTTTCTTCTCCATTGATCCTCTTGCCTTGATTCATCTCTCAATTTCCGAACAGACACACTGTCATCCATTCTAAGAGAAAAGAATATAAAAAATATATTAATTTGAGATAAATATTGAGAGAAAAAAAAAAGAAAAAAAAAGAAATTAAAATATCCGATTATTCAAATGGTTTTTCTCCCCTAGGATGAGGAATAACTCGATTCGTTCTCTTTTTGACGGATAACTAATTTTAATCATGCATTTCTCCACCCCCTGCCCCCTCCCCCCCTTCATATCACATACGAAAAAGGAAAAGTGAGAGGAGGGAGGGGAGAAAGAGAGAAAGCGAGAGTGAGAGCGAGAAAGAGAAAAAAGAATTAAGATAATTTTTTTTGTACATTCTAGGAATTAATTTTACAAATCTATTAAATTCTTTTAAATTATTTGTTTCAATTTTAATTTCAATTTATATATCATATATTAAATCATATATTATCCGTTTTGATGCTATTTAAGCGGTTAAGGTAATTTTTTTCTTTTTTTCGTTTTCTCGTTATATTATAGAAAATCAATTATTATATAGTAATTTTATATTTATATTTGTATAAATATAAAATTTATCGATTATAAAATACGAAATATTCTATCATCATTTCTATCATTAATTATACACTACTTTCTTCTTCCATTATTTTCTTTATTTTCTTTTTTTTCTGCCTTGTATCTACGAGAAAAAATTCATTATGGAAAACAACGATACACATATATCCAACGAGAGTTAAGAACGAAAAAAGAATAAAGAAGGGGAAAAAATATTTATAAATATATATATATATATATGAAAAGAAGATATGAATAAAAAGATAAATTTTTCAGTTTCCTTACCTGTTATCATTATCCTCTTATCATTTAACTTTTTGTCATATAGTAAGGTAAAAAGAGAGGATTAAAGAAATTTTCAACATCTTTGTCTGTCCAATTGATAAGAGGAAAATGTATAAACTTTGTGGAAATAAACTCTTCATTTAATTGTTCAAGATTAGTATAAATTTTCTTCTTGTTACTGTTCAACCGTTTCCCAACTAATAACTTTCGTAATTCCGGTTTTAATAAGGTAAAATTTTTTATTGCATGAGCAATGTTATTTTCCTCTAACTTGAATAAATCGACATTGTACCTGTCGATACGATAACACAATAATTCGGTATTGATCGAAATCGTGTTCGTGTTGATAAGATTAAAATGATTTTGAAAAAGGATGATTGCGTAATTTTAATGCCATAATCTCATACTTACATATCCTCAATTTCATTAAAAAATTGACTTATTTCCGATTTTAAAATATCGGATTCAAGACAAACTGCACGCAATTTCATCTTTGAATTATATCGCAATTTACTGCTAACGACACGAGCAAGATGTATCATAATGACTGATTCTTCGCTACCATCCAAATATATCCAAACTTCTTCAGGTTTTTCATAGTAATTTCTACAAGGAGAAAAAGAGAAAGAAAACAAAGAAAAATTCGATGACGTTTTATAATCAATTACGATTAATCGATACTTTTTCCACTTGTAGAGGCATTACACGAATTTCTTGAAGGAATATTCATAAACTGATCGATGCTGAGATTTTTCAATTAACGTTTCGTACTTCAATAAGCAATCCACATGCGGTGTTCGATCATAATTTATCAAAATTTTTGACGGTACACGATCACAAAACATTTTTTTTGCCCTTTGAATGTCCTTTTCATTCTCACTTTCAATAATTACACGCACTTTGTAATACCTAAAATTAAAAATATTTTTAATTTTCTCATCAATTTCTTAAAACTACGATATATATATATATATATATATATATATATGATTCTATCTTTTATTTATTATATATATATATATATCATTTACCTGTTAAGTTCCGGATACGAGCCAAAAGTAACATTTGAACATTCTAATGCAACTTTGCTTAAAATATCCGCGAACGATTCTTCTTTCGCATTTATATAAATTTCGGTTGTCGTGAATTTTTTACAAGAAGAAAATATTCCTATAAAATTGATATTGTTCTTTTCTATTGTTCCTCTAATGATATAATTATAGTTCACTTAAACAATAAGTATCGTATATTTTATTATTATACCTTGCATAACGTTTGAAAAGATTTCTCAAAAAATATAGGTGAACCAGGAAATATATAAACATTTCCTATTATTACGTATGGATAAGTGAGTAGTTTGCCTGTAACTTCGTCTGTTCCAAATTTAAGTACAGATTTTGTTGGTATCTATAAAATTATAAGACAAGATTTATTTTGATTATTGCTTTGATTATCGCTTATATTTTCCATTTTCATTATCACCTACGTATGCCATTTTATAAGCAGGCAAAGGAAATGTTCCAAACAATACGATATATATATATATATATATATATATATATGATTCATCTTTTATTATATATATATATATATATCATTTACCTGTTAAGTTCCGGATACGAGCCAAAAGTAACATTTGAACATTCTAATGCAACTTTGCTTAAAATATCCGCGAACGATTCTTCTTTCGCATTTATATAAATTTCGGTTGTCGTGAATTTTTTACAAGAAGAAAAATATTCCTATAAAATTGATATTGTTCTTTTCTATTGTTCCTCTAATGATATAATTATAGTTCACTTAAACAATAAGTATCGTATATTTTATTATTATACCTTGCATAACGTTTGAAAAGATTTCTCAAAAAATATAGGTGAACCAGGAAATATATAAACATTTCCTATTATTACGTATGGATAAGTGAGTAGTTTGCCTGTAACTTCGTCTGTTCCAAATTTAAGTACAGATTTTGTTGGTATCTATAAAATTATAAGACAAGATTTATTTTGATTATTGCTTTGATTATCGCTTATATTTTCCATTTTCATTATCACCTACGTATGCCATTTTATAAGCAGGCAAAGGAAATGTTCCAAACAAGTCTTGTAAGTCAAAATAATTTTTTATAATATCCACTAATGTTGGATGATAATGTAATGTATCGTTAAAAGCCAATGCTATAGCTGTAATATATAATTTCATTAGAAAAAAGAATTTATTATATATTCTTACAATTTTGAAGAGAATTGAATTTAACCTTCAAATGTAAGATCATCGTGAGTTGGCCCTATACCACCTGATGTAAAAACATAATTGAACATTTTAGAAAAATATTTTATTTCGTTCGCGATATCTTGAAGATCATCTCGTACGACTGCAATCTGAAAAAGAAGAGAAAAAAAAATAAATAAATAAATAAAAATAATCGAAATAAAAATTTAATTAACAGCAAAATTATACTCACTTTTTCAACTTTGACTCCATATTTATAAAGCAGCTTACATGCATAAAAATAATTGGTATCTCTTACTTGCCCTTTTAAAATTTCATCTCCAATTACTAAATAAGATCAATTAAAATCACAATTTGATCTCAATAAAAATAGAATATGCATGATATTTATAAAGATATATATATATATATATTAATGTTACCGATTATTCCAGCAGTTGGATGTCCTCTACTTTTCAAACGAATTAACGTCCAATTCATGGTTGTTCGCCAATAACGTTTCAATAAAGTCTTTACTATGTATCGATGTAAATTCATCATAACGTTTTAACCTTATCATTAACAAGTATATACACAATGCAACGGATAATGCTAAAAGATGATATTCTATACAGCGCCTCCAACTTGAACATCCTTCAACAATACAATTTGATGTGTGTACACTATGATTTACTATACATATGCATATATATATATATATATGTGTGTATATGTATATACATATATATATGTATATATATTCTTCTATATACATATATACTAAATTTACGAATATATCTTTCTTCATCTTTCAATTATTATTAAGAACTTACGTATTGTTGCATAAAGTCATTTGATTATTCTAAACATATATATGTACGTATTTTTTAATATTATTACTTTTTTATTTGATTAAATTGAATATCTCTATTCATTTTGCTTTAAGTTTTTTAAAAATAGTTTTCTTTTTTTTTTTTTTTTTTATTATATAGTATTGTACAAAAACAATCTTAATTAAAACTGAAATAAAAAGAAACGAATCTTAAAAGATTTTACATTTTAACATTACGTTAACATATTTATATAAAATAATTATTATATATTATTTATGATTTACTAGTGCCTTTCATCATTTCTACATTAAGATGGCTAGTGCAACATTACGAGAAGCTGCTTTAAAATCGCCGAGACAGTTGTACAAATTTTTATTGCGAGAATGCGAAAAATTGCCAAAGGAAGCGCAAGGATTTTATAGACATTCGGTTAAACAAGTAAATTCTATATTATCAATTTTCATATCGTTAAATATATTTAAAGATCACATATTAATTACATTGGTATCCAACACTTGTGAAATATATAAATATTTCACATATAACCTATTTTATCGTTTCACTGTTTTCGCATTGTTTGTAGAATTTTAAACAACATTTAATAGAACCCGATAAGGAACGTGTTCAGCAAATTATGGAAAAAGCAATGCAAGATGCAGAATGGATAGTTAAAAAGGTAATAAATTTTCAATGTTATCAAATATTAATTTTTAATAGTTTTTAATATTTTTAATAATTTGATTTTTTTTTTTATATATATATATATATATATATTTATGTATATTCTAATAATATAAATTTTTCAATATGATTTTTAGTACACTAAAAGTAAACCAAAAGGAACAAAGTAATAAATATGCAAAGATGTTATCAGCATTGTAGATACATTCTGTAATTTATTCTTTAGTAAAGGAAGACTTTGTAATTGTTTTATTCAAGACATGGATTTTAAAACCATAATAAACGATCAAAATGAAATTAGTGCATCACAATTTTTGAAAGCTATAGATATATGGTGTCGTAATCCTCAAATTATAAATCGTAGAATTCTAGCATCTATTGAAATATTGAATATTGAAATTAACTATGATATTTTTAAAATTTCCAATTATATTAATACTTTGGATGTTTCGATCTTAGGTATAAATCACCAAAAAGATGACATTGATAATAGAACATTATTGGATGCATTGCACATTTTTGATCAAGTGGCTATTACAACAAACATTGAAAAAATTCATTTATATGTGACAAAACAATTACCACGTATGCCACATATATTTTCTACTGGTATTGAATTTTTTTTAGTGAGCAATGAAAGAGGTTGTGTAATAAATATTCACAAACCCTTTTTCGTACATAAACAATCTCTCGGTACCAGAATGCCATTTATGTTACAACAACGAACAGATGGTTATATATCCATTAGTGTCCATCAAGTGAATAATGTTATGTCCGATTTCAGCATTGAATGGTTAAAGAAAAAACTTCTTCCGTGCATCCTGAAATGGGCGAAAAGCGAATCCGGAATCCGGACGTCGATCCCGTTGTCTTCATTGAATTTCGTATCAACTGAAAAATATGCAAAATTATATTGCAAATTGAAAGAAAAATATGGTATAAAATTGATAAAGAATTGGCCTGAGAATACAGATCCAATAAAATTCGTTTATGAAGATATTGCGATCGCTACTTATTTATTATTGCTATGGGAAAAAGAGAGACTCGAGAAGGGAATTAATGATTTACAATCGTTTCTTGATTTGGGATGTGGTAATGGTTTACTTGTACATATTTTATTCAGTGAAGGTCATCGTGGATTAGGAATTGATTTACGAAAAAGAAAAATATGGGATTTGTACCCACCCGAAACTCCATTACAAGTATGTATAAATTTAATAATTATCAAATTTACAATTCGAAAATTTGTTATTTTATATATATATATATAAAGAATGAAATATAATTAATGAAATTTACTGACTCATTTTATATAGGTTTGTACCATTGTTCCTTCTTCTGAAACGGTATATCCGGAAGTAGATTGGATCATAGGGAATCATTCGGATGAATTAACACCGTGGATTCCTATAATTGCTGCACGTAGTTCCAGCAATTGTCGTTTCTTCTTATTACCCTGTTGTTCATACGAACTTAATGGAACAAAATATCAAAGATATTGTGCCTCTAAAAGTCAATATTCCGAATACATTGATTATGTGAGAAGTATATGCGTTCAATGTGGATTCACGACGCATCTTGATAAGTTAAGAATTCCTTCTACTAAACGAATATGCCTGATTGGATGGGAAAGAACATATGAAAACGTCAAAAATTTAGAAGATCGTATTCAACAAATGTTAAGTGCAAAGACAACATTAACAACTAAACAAAAGTATGAGTCAAATAAAAAAATCGATGGTACGATGGAAGAATGGACTTGTGATTTTAAGCCAAGGGAAAAAGTAGAAAAAGTACGAAATTGTACGCAGTTAGACAAAACATTAATTACGAATATTGTTAATATTGTATCAAGTCAGTTACTTCACGAAGGTTGTACTATATATATCGAAGAAACACATAAAAAATTTTGGAATGCCGGTAGATGTCTTGAATTGCGCGAAGTCGCTAAATCAATTCCAAAAGAAGTTATGATGCACTTGCGAAAAGAATATGGAGGCCTTCAAACTTTATTAAAAAATCACAGTCATATATTTCGTGTTGCTCAAGGAAAAGTAGAATTTAATATACCTGGAATAGAAAGAATTAATGAAAAATCGAAAAAAAAAAGATTAACGTTGCCACGAAAAAAAACTAAATCTTGTTGGTTTTATGAAAATCATCCGAATGGTTGCCCTGCAACTGAAACAAAATGTAATTACAAACATTAATATAATAATTTTATTATTAACAAAGAACAATTGTTTCAATATTAAAATTTAATATTAATATTACACGTTAAAAATTATTTTCACTTTCATACAAATCGACGAATATTTTTATACATTTGGACGCGATTAGATTATTTATTTATTCGTAAAATACGAACCAATTATTTAACTGTTATATTATATTGGAAGAACATCGAATATTTATTATTATCTCTATCATTTCATCGACATTCTGAAATTATCAAAGTTGTCACAGTTAATGAAAAAGTAAATTAATAATAATTTGTACCGGTTGCATATCATTCCTTAAGAAGTTCGACAAACGATATATTATCTAAATTTAGATTCTTAGTTTCGATTGTGTTTTCTTGATTATACGTTTTGGATAAGAAAGATTGACGCACGCGATTCCATTTCTTCGTGTCGACGGTATCCAATTGGTGAACACGTTTCACATGTGTTCGAAGATTACCTTTTTGCGTAAATGAATATTCACAATACGAGCAAGCGTATGGGCGATCACCAGTATGATGTTTTTGATGCATTTGTAAAGTTGATTTTTGAGCAAATGATTTTGTACATAAATCACACTTATACGGCCTTTCACCGGTATGAATTCGTTTATGTCTTTCGACTTGATAAGGTTTTGTAAATGTTTTCCCACAAATGTCGCATTCTTTCTTGGATGAATTCCCTTTAATTGTTACTTTATCCGATACTGTTGGCTTTTGCGCAGACATCTTTGAAAATGATTCTAACTGCGGTGTCAGCGTTGGTACTGTTAAAAGACAATTACTCGATGGTGTCTTTAACATCAATTCTATATGATTTTCATTCTTGGTATTTTCATTATTAGTATCGGATGCTAGACTAGATGTTGTCAATGTACACTCAGCATCGGAAATTATAGTCGGTCGATGATGCAAATTGTCATTCGACGATTGTGGAAGTAACGATTCTTCGGTTTGAATGGTAACGAGACCATTTGTTAAAAGAAAATGTAAATTGGTAACTAAATGATTGTTTTCATTTATCGATACAATTGTTTGATTGTTGTTTGATGCGACACCTTCCGTGTCGAAGTTAATTTGATCGGATAAACAGGAAGCAGTTGTTTCGATACTATATGCATCCAAATGGGAAATTAATCCTGTTTGCGAAAGCTGTTCCTGTGACAGTTGTTGCTTTGTATCAAAGTTATTTACTTCCTTCTCTTTTTTGTCACATTTTTCAAGATTAGCTGCCACTTCAGCTATAGCCGTAACTTTTAAATGTTTTTGCTTTCTTTTTGGATTATCTTTGTATTCGCGTGCATGCTTCAATAAATGCACTTTTCTATGACCGGATGTTCGAAATCTCGAATCACAAATAGGGCATTTAAATGGTTTTGAACCTTTAAAAAAAAAGAAAAAGAAAAAAAAAGAGAAAAAAGAAAAAAAAATTCGAAATCAAACAATTTACGAAAATATACGAAAAACAGTTAAAAGTATATATAATGTGAATATTCTTTCTCGAAATAAGTTTCATAATTAATCATCATTCTACTTACCTGTATGTAAACGCATATGAACTTTCAAACTACCTTTGGTCGCAAATAAACTGTTGCATACGTGACAACGAAATGTTTTTTTCCCAGTATGAACTTTCGTATGTGAATCCAAAGTACATTTTACAGCGAAACTTTTATTACAGTAATTGCACTTGTACGGTCGTTCTCCTGTGTGTGTACGTATATGTCTTGTGAGATCACTTGGCTTGCGAAATGTTTTCGGACAATATTTACACTTATTCGTATACTCCTTCCGTTCCTTTTCCTCGACCAAGATATTCTATATGACATGTATATAATAATTTTCGCTGAATAATCCTTTGTTATCTCTTCTTTCTTTTTTTTTTTTTTTTTTTTCTTTTTTTCATATTGTAACAACTTACTTCCACTCGATCCATTACTTCTTTTTCTGCTACCGTATCTAACAGAACTTTTTCCGAAATT